AACACCCTCCCCTCCTGTGTCAGCCAAAGGCCCAGTCATCAAACCTAAGAGTTCTGGAAAAAAGAAAGCAAAATTGTACAACCGGCAAGAAAAACAGACAAATTTAAGTTCAAATTCCCCTCAAGCTCTCAAGTTATCCTCTACTTCACCTGCACCAGTAAAGCAGGGGATTCCCCTAGGGCAATCAGTTCTGGTTGTCACAATAAAGGATAAGCATGTAAAAGTTCACATGCCGTCAGACAGTGCCCCACGGTCACCAACCTTAGTGGAGTGTAAAGCTATCATTAAACATCAACAAGAAACAAACAAAAGGCAAGAACAGGAGGTATGTTTTTATCAGTGATTGATTAAATACCAACTTCTCCTTATGGTAACAACATATTTTAAAGTAATGAAGTGGTGAGAATACAGATTATCATCCATTAGGAATACTATTTTTGATAAAACTTCAAATTCTCAGAACATCCATTCTAAGAGTGTGTTGGGCAGTCAGAAAGGAGAGTTACCAGGTCAATCTTAAGAGTGAAAGGGTTGATGACAGTGAAAAGAATCATCCTTGAATCGTGTTATCATTACTTTTGTTGTTTCCTGGCAGACCAAGTTTTCTTAAGAGACATTTTAAAGAGACATTTCAAACAATCATATTAGTCAGATGCAAAGAGGGAGGAGTTGTCAAATAGATAAATTGCTTTCTTTTTCAATGCAATGTAGTCTTTCTTTATGATATTTTAAGGTAGTCTTAGGATAAATCCAAGCATTTTGATTCATTCTTACTTGGTCTGTGCTTTGCTATATACAGCAGAAACGGTTATACGCAGTTTATTTTTGTCAACAAAAGCCAGCAAATTCAAAATAAACAAGTTTGATGCAAGTGCCATTAAGAAAACTACTTACTAACCCAAGAATATTCCCCAGTACAGCCTTAATGCTCAGTTAATAAGAAGTTATTCTCTTTGATAAAGTATTTTTTTAACTTTTTTAGCTTTCGAAACTAAAGTCAGACTTGAATGATGCCCTTTACTCTGACAAGTGGTCACCAGATACATATCTCGTAACCAAGTCCTATGTTACAGATGATGCACCAACCAATACAAGGTATGCAGCAATTAAGTATTGCCCTTAACAGTACAATGCATTTCAAAAACTAACCAAAGAAAATGGTATTAATGACTTAAAAAAATTTCTCTGCAGACAAAACACTCCTGCTTCTAGATCTTTACCACGGTTGCATTCTAGAGATCAGATGCGTTCAGGAAGGTAAGGATTTGAGTGTTGCAAAATTTGACAGAATGAATTATTACTTCTCTCTATTTTCAGACTGGTACTTTAAAGCAAGAGAAAATATATCTTTTAGTTAATTTTTTCCCCTTTTTTTATGAGGGTCCTCATATTTTTTTTTTACTTATCATACACTGTAGCTTAAAAGATCAATTAACAATTGGTTCATACGTCAGCGTGCATTCATCGAGATATGAGGCACATGGGAAGTTTGGAGAGCACAAGAGATGCATAAGAGTTGTTCGAGGCGTAGTCAAGCGCAACTCTAGCTTCTTGAGTGCTCTCCAAACTTCCCAAGTGCTTCATATCTCGATTAACGCACAGCTGACGTATGAACCAATTGTTTTATAACATTTTCAACCCAAAGGAAAATTTTTTTCTTGAGGGATTTGTTTGCTGACGTATGAGCGTGCACAATAGGATTATGAAGCATGCTTGCACAATTGAATTTGATTACACAAATTTACTAGCTATGTTATAAATTTACTTTTATTATTTTGTTGAGATTGTTGTACTATTGATTTGTTGTCAGCTTTCAGAGGAGTCATTAGTCCTTGTGCTGATATGGTAGCTGGACATTCCACACAAAAGACTTCTTGCACAAGTTTGGGACTGTTCACACAATGCTTAGTAGTCGTTTTGCACAATAGTTATAAGTGTATAAATAAATTATTGTGTTTACAAGTATTTTGATCTAGTTGAAGTTGTTACGTAAATAAATATCTATGTTCTCGCCACTGTATCTTATTGAAAGTGACATGTGAAGGTGAAATATCTCATCAGTATCAATTAGAATATCTTTTATATTGATGTTTATCACTTACAATTATTGTGTGAAATGACTATTAAGAATTGTGCGAATGGTCCAAAAGTTGTTCGAAAAGACTTGTGTGAAAAGTCTTTTGTGTGAAATGCCCTGTATTTGCTGATATGGTTTGCAAAACAGGATAGGCTATTTCCTGGTCAGCAGGTTGTAAATGAATTCCATGTCTTTTCTATTTCAAAGGTTGACAGCTGGGCGAATGCATGTTGTTCAAGACAGTGTATCTCTTCCAGTTCTTCGCCCCAATGGTGCAGCAAATGTTGCTGATAGGAAACGTCGACAGCAGGCATTAGTTAGAGGAAGAGGCAAAAAGGACCTCTATTAAATTATGTGTCAAAATTATTGATCAGCAATCAAATTAATATTCTTCCCTTAAAAGATGATACATTTTTTATGGTAGAGCTAGAATATTTCCCTAATTAGTCAATAGTCACTCTTTTGCCCATTGTGCACTTGTAAATATCTTTTTTTCCTTACAATGATAGATTTTTCAATCCTTTACATTTTTCTTCTTGGTCTATACTACTGCAGTAGTACCATTAAATACAGTACATGGGGTGAAGAATTATTTAATAAAGTTATTTAAATTGAAATGAGTTGTTATTTTCCTCTGTTCTGTGTATGAATTTTTTTTGCTTCTAAACAAATTCTTTTACAGGAAACTGTTCACTGAAATTTTGTATCTATAATAGATTGAGTGTGTGCTGAAATAAGAGTTTTTCACACCTTTAGTTAAGTCTGACTTGTTTTTGCTTTTATTGGTATGGAGAGCTTTTTGCACAAAGCTGTTACTTGTACAAATACTTACCTACCAAATAAGTTAGTGAACTATTTGCAGTTTTGGAAATTTTATGGTATAGAAGTGATAACTGCATCAATATATTAAGGTGTCATAGGGGGCACTTACCACTAATGTGAAAGGGGAGGCATCAATGATTGTATGTTTGATTCCCTGTGGTCGACTCCTTTGCCTACAGAACAGGTGTCATTTTACTTTGGTATTTCAGACAAGCAGAGGCTAGTTCAAGTTTAGTCTGAAGAGAGTGTGAAGGGGGAGTCATGCGGGAAGAGTAGTGTGGACAAGATGATGTCATGATTTGGGGGTCTTCTGCTTACTCATTTCCTACCCCTTGTGCTTTCCTTGCACTTGCCACCACTTGCTTCAAAAATGTAAAAATTCCATGCCTTTTCTCTAGGCTACAACTCTTGGTTTTGCAAATTTTATTCACCTTCCTTTTTGACAACCACTTTCCCTTTTTGATATTTGTCCATATTTTCATTACTAGACTCCTTGACAATGCATGAATATATTGTGGTTCAATTTTATCCTTGGTTCAAATTTTTATTTCCTTTGTTTCAAATTCATTATCATACATTACAATACCCAAAAACAAAAAATTTGAACCAAGGATAAAATTGAACCACAATAGATATTTCAGTGAAAAATTGCTTAGTGGCCACTACTATGAGTGGAAGGGTAGAGGCTAAACATGTGTCAGCAAGGGAGAGACCTTTATCCCCCAACATACCTCCCATTGTCAGGCCTTTAAGGCAAAGTTCTACCTGTGAGTTAACCTCCATGAGTGACCAAGACAGAATTTCCACTTATAATGTCAATTCAACACTAAGTGGAGATGGGATGAGAATGAAGAAAAATCTATATTAAGGAGCTATTATTTGATCTAATATTAAATGCTCCAAACTAACGTCATAAGAATTTGAAGGCAAACAGCAAGGAGAATTACAAATTAATCAAATTTTAGGGGTGGAAGGGTAAAATGCTTTGCCATAAAAGCCAGGAAGAGAATTTATGATCGCCCAACCAGGAAATGTAGATAAAAGGCCTCAATCTATGCTTTCTTTTTTTTCGTTCTCTTGGTTTTCTTTTTCTTGTGGTTGTTTTGCTTTGAAATTTTTCTTCCATAGTGTGTACGCCCCTACGCTTTGTTAGTGACTGAGAGAGTCTGGAACAGAGAGCCTCGCTCACACGATTGTTTGAAAAACAAAATGGCGGTTTACTTGAAGATTCGATAATCTTGCATTTTACCTTTCCTCATTTCTTTATATATAATTATTGCTTCCGAAAAGACTCTGAGTTTTGACGAAGAGGGATTCCAATGATTTAGAGGTGAGTTAAATTGCGTAAAATGTATTTACTCAAAGGAACAACTCGAGCTTAGGACTCGTAAGGTCGGTCCGTCAATAAACTCTATCGCGTTAATATCTAAAATATTTAAGCTCAAGTGTGATCATAAGCTTCCTCCTGTCCATCTCGTTCAGTCTGAATCATAGAAACTAGGAAATCGCCCATTAGTCGATAACGTGCGAGGAAGTAATTTTTTTCTCTGATAAATGTGATCACGTGTGGTCGTGATCGTTGTAGCATGATCGAAGTTCTGATCTGTTCCTTCGCTCACGAGTCCAAAATATTTTCGCAGATCGAAAACCTCTCAACGTAGGGTTGGAAATAAAGTCAGAGTGCACTGTAGAAATCGAATTATTCTGATGGATTTATTTTGTTGCTACCTTTGGTTGTACTTTCCGTAAATTGTTCTGTTTGATATGCAATCTTGTTAACAAGATGCATTTAATTTATTATCAGACTCTGCAGCATGATGACTCCCTAAGAGTGATAAGCATCCAATTTCTCCAATTTCTCCAATTTCTCCTGATAGCATCATCCCTTAATCAAATATTATGGTCATGAGAATAAAGGGAATGATGGCAACCTCAAGAAGCGCTTGATTGTCAGACAAATTCTCCTTGTTAGCACCATAAGAAATGTATATAAAACAGTATGGAGAATTTGCATACTGATCTTAGGGTGTGAAAGGTTAAACAGCCTTATACCTGTGCTTTTCTTGATCAAGGGTTCTAAATCATTTCCATTTCTTGCAGGATGTCAGCTGATGTTCTGTGGAAACCATCCCAAGTGGGTTTTAATTTTCCAAGCTTGAACCAGCCAGTCTCTGTTCCTCAGCGGGTGATGGCTGCACCAAATAGTGGATCAGCTACACATAAAATGAATCAACTTCAATTTAATCTTGGAGTGCCAACAACTGCTGATCAGTTTACAACAAGGTTTAGAAAACCCCAACCTATTGTTATAGAAAAATTAGGTGACCAGAATCAAACACCACAGTTGTTACCTCAAAGGCGTGTAACTACCCCGGTTGTTTATCCTGTTGTGCCATCTGTGTCATCATCTATCACAAGTGACCGACTTGCACTAGCAGTTCATTTGGCCAAGAAAGATGTTAGAAAGGTGAAAGAAATTGGAACGGAGAATGTTTTAGTTTCACAAGAAGAAGAAACAAAGAGAAGGCATTTTGCAGTCACAGGCAAAAATATGGGCGTTGGGAAAAAGAATAGGGTAAAAAGTATGAAATCTAAATCACAAGCGGCAATATCAGAAGATAAACCTACTTTGCGTGAAAGGGTTCATAGTGCTGTAAAGAAACAAGAGGCAGAAGCGAGGAAGCAGTATAAAATGTACTTTTATCCAGCTGCAAGGGAAGATGATGAATTTGAGTCAGATGGGGAAAGGACACAAGCTAATGAAATTAGAAAACTCCGCAAAGAGCTCCATCAATATATGAAACAAATGGAAAGTTTGAAAGATGAGAGACCAGAAATGTTGAAGAACAAAGACAAAAGGTTAAAGAAAAGAAAAGAGGGTGAAGGAAGGCTTGCAGATGAAGAGGTAGATGAACGCCAAGTAGTGAGGGCTGAAGAACAAGCTGCCAGATCAGCAAGGATGCTTTATGTACTTCAGAGACAGGTAACATACTGGTACATCTTTAATTAGAGGAAGATTTGATAGGGAGTGAGTATTTCAAAAAGGTCAGCTGTCTTCTAAACAGCTGTGTTCTTGAAAGTCACAATCTTCTTTACCAAAACTATCTTCTGCCCTAAGAATCACATTCAATTTGTTATTCAGCCTCTAAGACCATCCCCATTGAATGAAAAATATTTCCCTTAGTCCAACTGGCACATTTTTGTGGAAAAAAATATTATCCTATCTGAGAGGGAAAACTTTTAGTCTGGGTGATTACAGAAAAAGTAATCCTGGAATAGACTTGGAATGGAGAAAGATTCCTATTGGAAGCTGACTACAGACATTGCTGATATTTTCCCTAAAGTATTTGTATAATGCCCAGACTGAGATCATACAAGGATAACGACATTGAATGATATCTAACTTGAAAATACTTTTCCTTCAAGGTGCGTGAGATTGAGGACGAGTTAAACAAAAAGAAAAGAGGGATAAAACATACAAAAAAGGTGAGAGTTTAAAAGGAATTTGACTCTCCTTAGTCACCAGCAACAGGTTGATTTGCAACTGGACACTTGGAATTAATATTATTTTATTTAATTCTCAACTATTCATGCTAAAAGTTTCATCTCTTTAAATTTAATTCCACATTATTTATGGTACATTATTGGCATTAGCACAAGATAAGTTGTTTGCAATTTTGAGGAACATTTAGACGAAGTCTTCCCACTCTAGCAAGCACTAACTACATGTACCTAGATTTAGTTAGGTTTATTGTTAGTATCATTAGGTTTAATTTTTTTCTACAATCTTGTATTGGATCTCAGAGCCAGACTCTAAGCCGCTTGGCAGCAGCTCACAGGGGAGCAGTTAGAGCATTGCAGACATTTGTCAGCCAGGCTCCTCTCCAGCCTAAAGTTGGCCATGGCTCGCCACCAATGTACCAGGAACTGTCTGCCCTCATTAGACAGTTGTCACTTTTGGCAGCACAGTTGCACATCAGTGGGGAAGATTTCTCTGATGAAGTGAAGAGAGAAAAAGTTCAAGATGAAAAGGTACAATACCACTCAAAAGTAAGTAGACAGTCTCTACTGAAAACATCCTCAAAACTATTGGGAATCAAGGGTCAAAGCTCAAACCATTATCAGTGACAGTTTTTGTATGCAATATGGACAAACCTGTGTAGCTCTCAGTTTGATTTCAATGAAGTAGAAAATAGATCAATTTTTAGTGTCATGCCACATTCATAATGAAGTATTACCCATGGATAAGCTGTACCCTTGATTTTTGGCTTCAATTTTGTGAAAAAAAGTGCAGCTTATACATGGACGTATATGGTATTTATTTGATATTTTTTCAGTATCTTAAACAGCTATTTCACTTTTTATTGATCAGGATGAGCCTGATGAAGAAGAGGTTGCATCGAGAGTAATTGGCAGAACTCCAGAAAAAGCGAGTGCATTTATCCAGGAAGTAGCTGACAGAAAGCCTAAGGGAACAACCATACCAAGATCTCTCCTGAAACAAGGTTTGAATACAGTAATAAGCATCTTTGGAGCAATCTATTTTGATTTATTCATTCAACAGATTTTTGCCATTATCATTTATGACCAGTGTTTAGGCCAGGACTCAAATGGAATGTGTGGGTCCTGTTTGTCACATCAAACCTAATAATAACATTGTTTATTTTTGCACTGTGGTTTTTCTTTGTAAGTTGTGACAAGTTCTCCTGACCCTACCCCTGAAAGAGATGCTGTTCTGCAGGCTGGGCTTTCTGCACTCCTTAGAGTCAAGGACACTCCAGTTCAGACACCTGTGGTATGTTCATTCTATTTTCTTTAAAAATAATCTTCTCATTTTATATCACATAGTATCTTAAAATAATGGTAATATTTTGATAATAATAATTTGATCAATGTTCATTATTTTGCAATTTTCTTACACAAATATGACAAGATTTTGTTTTTATGGCATTTTATATTAAGACAGTATGCAGAACTTAGAAAGTTTGAGATTAAAAAAAATCCTTTTTTTAAGGTAAAACCAAAGTTCCAAATGAGACCTGCCGTTCAAGTGGAAAAACCAGTCAAACAGGCTTCGAAGAAATCACTGTTATTACCTGCTAAGCTAAAGGTTTGTGACTATATTCAAACCAAGTTCTTCTTTGACCCACAGCAGTTGTTGAAGGGGGGGGGGGGGTCAGGGGAAGTTAAAATGGGTGTGAAGCACTCCTGTTATAATTTGGATCTTTCTTTGTGCATACTTAATCTTCTCATCTTTTCATGTTGCTGATGCTGTGGGGTCAAAATACAAACATACAATTGCTAGATTCACCTTGCCATCACCAAATAATTGAATTAATATCTAATTTTTTTATGAATACTGACCCTCAGCTTCAGCGTCAGAGAGCTTTTCAGACAGCCAAGAGAGTGAAACTGCTTCAAGATGTAGACCAAGCTCACTTTGCCAAAGAAACTGTTGCCTCCATACTGAAAAAGGCTCCTCCAGTAGTGGGGCATCAGCCAGTGGCCCAATCTAGGACACCACCCAGAACACCTACAAGAGAAGGCCCTCATACTCCTGAGAGAGTGCATTTTCAAGGTCCACACAGTCTGTCCCCTAGATCACACAGAAGGCAATGTGAAACTCAGGTTTGTTGTCAATGCACAGATACATGCTTTAATCTACTTATAAGGGCAAAATAGAAAGGAGAGAAGTGAGGTTAAGAGGAATGCTTTCTTGGTATAGTAGAAATTTCTCAAAAATGGATAGGGATGTTTGCTTGGTTTCCTTATTTAGACGTGTGCCAGAGTAAGTTGAATTGGAATCTTTACAGATATCATGAAGCACTGTGTTATACAATATTTTTTAAAATTTCTCCCAGTTGTTTTCAGTGCACTCGTCGTTTTGATAACCCAGTCTAAGTGTAACTCATTTAGTAATAGTAAACAAATTTATGGGACAAAATAAGGAATTTCAACTGTTCCTTTTCCTTACAGTTAATGGTTGGTTTTCTTCATATCTTTTGAGTAGCTACAAAGTCCAACAAGTCCGAAGTATTTCCGTAGACATCTTCCAACTGACCAGGAGCTGATAGAAAGAGAGGTGGCCAGGTGAGTGAATCCCAACAGGATTTGACGGCCGATAGGACGCTCAGTGGCTCTTTTTGAATGAAAGATCATGGCAGCAAAGGCCTGCTTCACACATAGTGGGGCGCAATAGTAGCACAGAGCGAAAAAGGCGGAGGATTAGGATGAGTCGTTAATTCGCCATATTTTTTCGGACCATTTTGCTCATGGACTTCAATGTTGACAGCAGCTGTCAAACTGGACCTATCAGAGGGGATGAAAAAACTACAGGCTCTCTTTACGCGACCCGACTTAAACTTCCTCCTTCTTTTCTCATTTCGTTGCTATTTCGGCTCCTTTACTGAACGCCCTTTTTCCTGACGTGTCACCACTTCAAACGAGACCAAGGAAGATAGCTTTTTAATTTTGTCGCCATGTATGTATGCGCACACATTGTCATGTCATTATCTTGAGCCTTGACTTTCATTATTCTGCGTAAGTGTGATATTTCTGTATCTCAAGTGTGACCAGGATGACTGGCTTTGAGTACCAACTTCACAGAAAGCAAGTGTTTAATCTGTTTTCCTAAAAGTCTGGAAATACACGTTATTAAATTTGACCATATTTAATCAAATTCTTCCTGTAACTGTTAATAATGTTCATTCTTAGGCAAAGATGGCTTGACGAAGAGGCAGAACGAAGGGTAAAATTCAATTTTACGCTAAAACTATAATAATTTTCATAACAGATGATTTGCAGATTACACCATGGTATTTTGCTATAGCAGCCTCAAAACGTTCAGTGCTTTCCTGTTTTTTTTTTTTAGCTCCTTTTCAGACCACTATTATTACATTTTTTTTAATGGTTTCTTCTTGATGAATTAGATTCGTGATTTGGAACGAGAACGAAGACTTGAAGTTATGCAGCGACATCGAAGAAGGTAGGATTTTTATAGGTAGAAGATTTATCCGAACAACTCTACCTTATTGACCTTCCAAGAACCCTATGTGATAGAACCCACTGCGGGAGTCATTGCCCCCTTCCGGTATCATACCTCCCCATCCCGGGTGTCACCCCCCCTTCAATATCCCGGGAATCGTAAGCTCCCTTCATAACTCTCTTTTCAAACTCAACGTTTCATTTGTTTTAGTCACCCTTTGATCGGTTCTGAGTTTGCAATTTTTTCCAATATTCCAGTCCAGACGTTTCACTGCCAAAGCGATTGATATGTGAGACAGAAGACGCCATTAGATCTCGACTGAAACCGCTCTTGGATCGAGCAGAGGTATTTAAAAAAGTTTAATTTTATCTTCTAATTTTGATGTTTCATGGGAGGTGTATGATTATTTACGTAGTCCAAAGTAGTAAAGATGTAGATAGACTACAAGCAGACCCTTCTTTTTGGCGATGTTCGTCGTGCGAGTTAAAAATATTTAGCGAAAGAAAGAAATGTGAGCGCGCCACGCAGAACTCTGGGAGTGTGGCGCACGAAAAGTACTCCCAGAGTTTCGCGCGCGTGCTGACATCTATTTTTTTTTTTTTGCTGAGTTTTTTCAGTTGACTCGCGCAACGAACGTCATCGAAAAGGAGGGACTGCTCGTAAAGAAAATGTAAAACTGGTTCGTCTTTACAGAGTAACAAAGAAACACCTTTAGTCATATGCACAATATCAGAAGGAGTTGTATAGTGACTTGGAATTTCTAGTACATACTAGTTGGAAAAGGTACCCGCACATAACCCAGGAGTAAGGATCTTCCTTCTTTACGATCCACATCATTTTAGTTATGAATAGTAAGTAAAGTAGTTACTTTTACAATTCACAGCACTGAACAGAAAACAAACTTGGTATTTATTATAAATTTGTTTGTTCCTATGTGCAGGCGATAGCGGAAACACAGGCGATAAGAGAAGAAGAGCAAAAGAAATCATTACAGCATCAGCTTGGGAAACTTGCCTCTCAGACAGTGAGTGTACAAATACAACCTAAGGCCACAGTCGCTTGAAGGTTGGATAGTTAATTCGGTGGGAGAAGTGTCATCTGTCCTTTCAACAAACACGACAATGTGATCTCTTTTGTACTCTGGGAGATTAGACGAGAGTTATGACGATGTTAGTGGATCCTGTGCTCCAGCGCTTCAGCATTGAACGACTGACAACTTGATGGGGAACGAGGCCATATTTTAAGTTCACATGTGACAAACATCCTGCATATTGGCCTTTTTTAAAATGCTGCTGATTATCTCGAACTTCTTTTCTTTATTTTAAGGTTTTTACTTGTTTTTGCCATAGTATCGTGCTTTTGCTTTCTCGGCAGACAATGAACCAAGCGGACATTTTGGCCGAAAAAGTTCTCGATGATATTTTAGAAGATACAGTTCTTGAAATGCAAAGGCGAGTGTCTGGATCGTTTTTAACTTTCTTATCTCTGAGGTCTCTTACGTTGTAAAGGTGCATTTAATTTTTCTTTTATTCATTCCTGTACAGATTAGAGATCGAAGACGACGTTGAAATGCAAGCTGATGATTTGCAAAACAGTTCATCCTTAGATAATATTCTTCAGAGACTGCAGAGTTTCGAGGTACGTGAAAAACCGATGGGTGCGAAATAATCTTCTCCATAAGAAGTCCTGCTTAGAATATTCTTTCCAATGTTCTGTTCTAGTTGAAATGGAGTATAACATTTTAATATCATTAACAACACTGCCTTTCGTCGCAGAAAGCCGAGGAGGAGATAAGACAACATTGGGTTCAAGTGAATTATGCAGATGTTGAAAATTCCACAGAAAAACACCACACTGGTATGTATGCAATCCTTTAGTATGGTTGCAAAGAACCAAGGTAATCACAACACCCAAGTAGAGCAAAGGAAATCATCTCAGGAAGCAATGAGAATTCAAGGTAGATTCAAGCGAGCTGAGGCGCAGAGAAATGCAAGTGAACAAGTCGTGATTGATTGTATTTCTTAATCTGAAAGTGGTGCGAATTTTCTGGACCAGTTCAGAGCAAAGTTGAGCAAAACTAAAGCAATGGCAGATTACTGTCGATGCCCAATATAAAATTGCTTTAAACCTTACATATGTTTACATCACTTTCTTGTTTCCCCTTTATCAACAGAGAAAAGAACTCGACCAGCTAAGGATCCGAAACCGATCATGTTTACAAGGCCCGTGGAAACCGAAAGCCACCGACTGTTACCGGAAAACACCCGAGCACCTCCCGACGACGATGGACGAAGTGTCAGAAGGCCATTCAAACTGTTGAATGAAATTAGTGCAGCCAGTAGCTTTTCCTCCCTAATGGAAGGTTGGACATAGTCTCTCACTGAAGTATTATAATTTAGGGTGATAAAATGTCAGTAGAAATGCATAGGTCCTTTTTATTTTCAGCATCGACAGAGCGCTCCTCTGCTCAAAGCTCCATATACAAGAGTCCTCAAAATAGCTCAGCCCCACAAAGTTGGCCCCTCACTTCTGGCACACGACCTACAGTGTTCCTTAGTGTGCCTAAGGAGATGAAAGCCAGTATAGTGTCCTACAGGAATCGATTCAACAAATATCTTCAGGACACTTCTACTCACGAGGAAGGAACATTTGACCCGTGGGGACTGGTAAACAGGTATGATTATGTAACAGCTTGTCAATTCTTCAAGCATTTTGATTGGTTCTTACTGGTGGTGTATTGGACACCAAATGTATAGTTAATGTAATCAGGAATATTGTTTTGTCGCTATTTGATAGTGAAATTAACGCAGTATGAAAAGCATTTGTTGTAGGTTAACATAAAATAATCTGCTTTGAGAGGAAGGGTTAGCCGAAGCTAAATATGCTTAGAAACACAGCTCCGAAAACGAAGCAGTAAATCGTCATTTTGGGACATCATTTTGTAGACATCGTTTTGAGCATTACAGTCGAACTTTTATCGAAGGATATCTCTCCATAGCGGCAACGCACATTGAACCGCGTCCCTACTGCTAAAATAACCTCTGCAGGAAGGCTAGTGGATCACCTACAGACGACCGTTGTAAAATGCGTGACAACCTGTCGATGCGAATATTTTATTTGTCTTGAATAACCAAAGGGAAGGTCGTAGGAGCTGATTTACTCACTGTACTTTGCAGTTTGTTGCCAATATCCATCTGAAAATCAGGTTCTGGTTTCTCTGTCATTGATATTCTTTGAATTGGCCACAGATCCATACAAGCCGCCGTAAGATTTTTCCAATGAAAAGACTAGGTCTTGTAACACAGTGGTTTTTCCTCCCCCCCCCCTCCCCCTGAGGGCTGCGTCTTTACTATGGCCACCCTCTCTTCATAAGGTGGAAAAAGAGAAGAGGTTGGGCTGTAACATGTTTCTCTGCACTAACCTCTTTGCTGCACTTGATGTGGGAAAATCTTGTTCAGTAAGGTTCTGTTCTCATTTGTTGCAGGATCAGTGAGGAGTTGTTAGAAGATGCTTTGCAAGAAGTTGGTCATGAGCTTGATGATGTGTGTGATGATTACGCCGAGGCCTTGTATAACCAGGAATTTGTTTCAGTCAGCTCAGACACGTGATCAATGTCTTCCTTCCTTCATATTTAGGAATGCAATCCTCAGGAAATAATACAGCCTGTTTAATTGGACTTCAGCGTGCAGTTCCAAGGATTTTACGTCGTCTGCTGCGATGGCAACTATTCACGTTAGAAATGCTGTTATATGACTGGCTCAATAAAATACAACCAAGTGTTGAATTCAATTACATGAATTAAGTCATTGTGAATGGAGTTTCATCCTCTTTCCGACACTTTACGTCGCGTAAATCCCATCTCTGGCCACATTATAAACGTATAAATATGGAGCCTTTGGAGGCACCTCCCTATCTCTCGAAGAAAGTGATCAATTTTGCTCATAAACAAAACCTATTGATTCAATACTCAGAGGGAATTTTCTCGTCCTACGAAAGAGCTGTAACTTTGAAACTATTACTTGAGAGACAGAAAACGATGCTTGTTCTAACCGCCCCATGAAACGTCCAGTTTTCTTTTTCGTGATGTAAAAAGATTGATATTAAAACAATAGAAACTTGTTAATGAGCCAAGGCTAACACTTACTCACAGTACTTAGTGAGCTGTTTCAAACCCACTGTTTATTGTCTAGGAAATCCTCTCTCTAACTGAGATATAAGCGCATAAATATTTAAACAGTAGAAATCGGTTAATGAGTATTCTGAAGTTCAAAAGGGCCATCATGCCTACTAGCAAAATTCTCTTGTTTGAATATTCAGCAAAATTTCTCGTCACATGGAAAAGATTTGACATTGAAACTTGCATACAATAAGCAGCCAATAAAGCGCACTCCAACGTGCTATTAAGAGTCAGGAAAATCTTCTATTTGCCAAAAATACAAGGGTAAGAATATTTAAAATTGGTTAACGAGCTTATGAAGACCTCAAGTCAACCCTTGTTGAAGAGGCCTTATTTTGCTCATTAAGAAAAATCCATTGTTTGAATATTCAGAGGAGGTTTTCTAGGCCCACAAAAGAACTGTGACTTTGAAACATGCATGTAAAAGGTAGCTTATCAAGCTCTATTTAACGCACTATTTATTGTCCAAGAAATTTCCCCTCTAGTTGAGATATATGCGCATGAATATTTAGACAATAGAAATTGGTTAATGAGCATTTGGGGACCCTGAGCTAACCCTATTTTTATAGGTCTATTTTAGCTTATTAACAAAAATCTATTGTTTAAATATTCAGAGGAGATTTTCTCAGCCCACAATAGAGCTGTGGCTATGAAACTTACATAAAGTACGCAGCTAATCAAGCTCTTTCTAACGAACTATTAATAGTTCAAGAAATTCCCCCTCTTATTGAGATATGTGCGCATGAATATTTAGACAATAGAAATTGGTTAATGAGCATATGGGGACCCTGAGCTAACCCTATTTTTAAAGGTCTATTTTAGCTTATTAACAAAAATCCATTGTTTAAATATTCAGAGGAGATTTTCTCAGCCCACAATAGAACTGTGGCTATGAAACTTACATAAAGTACGCAGCTAATCAAGCCCTTTCTAACGAACTATTAATTGTCCAAGAAATTTCCCCCTTTTATTGAGATAAATGGGCATGAATATTTAAACAATAGAAATTGGTTAATGAGCTTTTGGGGACCTTGAGCTAACCCAAGTTCAGAGGGTCAATTTTTCCTCATTAACAAAAATCCATTGTTTAAATATTCAGAAGATATTTTCTCGGCCCACAATAGAGCTGTGGCTATGAAACTTACATAGAGTACGCAGCTAATCAAGCTCTTTCTAACGAACTATTAATTGTTTAAGAAATTCGCCCTCTAATTGAGATATATGCACATGAATAATTAGACAATAGAAATTGGTTAATGAGCATTTGGGGACCTTGAGCTAACCCTAGTTTTAAAGGTCTATTTTAGCTCATTAACAAAAATCCATTGTTTAAATATTCAGAGGAGATTTTCTCGGCCCACAATAGAGCTGTGGCTATGTTACTTACATACAGTACGCAACTAATCAAGCTCTCTCTAACGAACCATTAATTGTCCAAGAAATTCTCCCTCTTATTGAGATATATGTGCATGAATATTTAGACAATAGAAATTGGTTAATGAGCATTTGGGGACCTTGAGCTAACCTCAGTTCAAAAGGTCTACTTTGCTCATTAACAAAAATCCTTTGTTTAAATATTCAGAGGAGATTTTCTCGGCGCACAATAAAGCTGTGACTTTGAGACTTGCATGTAAAACGCAGCTAATCAACCTTTTTCTAACGAACTTTTAATCGTACGCAAAATCCTCTTTCTAACTGAGATGTAAGTGCATGAATATTTAGACATTAGAAATTGGTTAATGAGCTTCAGGGGACCTTCATTCAACCCTATTTTGCTCATTAACAAAAATCTATTGTTTGAAAATTCAGAGCAGATTTCCTCGTCTCACACAGGAGCTGTGACTGTGAAACATGCACACAACAGACATTTATCCAAGCTCGTTTTAACGCGCTACAAATTGTTCCATAAATCTTCATCTTTTCCGAGATATAAATACGTGAGTGTTTTAATAGAAATTCGTTAATGAGCTTTTGGGGCTGCATAGAGTAGCTTCCATTTGAATACGTGTAATCACTATGTGGAATGTTTATTGTTGTCGCAATGTCATCAGACAAAACTTTCCCCTTTATTTCTTTTCTGTTGCAATTAAGTGTGACATGTCTCGATGTTAAGTGTAATATTGAATGATATAGAACGTTACCACAAAAAGAGTTCAGAAAAGGGTTCTGGAAAACCTTGAACTTTATTAATTGTACTAAAAAATATTTGCAAGGAGGTGAAATATGTACAACGTAACGTGGCTATGAAATATATATATATTATAAACCTCCTGCTTATTAATCTGAAATTACAAACTTATATGTACACAATTTCGCTCCAAATTTCATAAATAGCAACTCGAAAATACGCCACTCTCATCTCTACTAATTGACTGAGGTACATATAATACACTGAGAATTTCGAAAATGGCACGCATCTTGAATTCTAGTTTGACCTAAAGATTCAACGCACATAAATAAAAAGGTGGTAGGACCCGTAATTGAAAGGGAGAAAATTGACCGTCATGAACCACTTGACAATATTTATCTAGGGCTTGTCATAATTCTACAATAGCATAAGGGAAGGTAAGAAACTAAAAGGAAGCAAGTTGACGTGACACGAAGAGAATGCTTGAGTCACACGATGTTGCGTGACCGAAAATAGTACACACCAACGGCGTCACGATGTTCTTACTATTTTTGGCACAAGATCTAGACTTGCTACCTTTCAGTTTCAGCAAAAATATTCACAAATCAAGATTAACTGAGGGGTTAACTGTTGGATATGTCTAACGATGGTTAGCACCAGAACGGCTGAAATACTTTGTCGTTACCTCTAAAAGTCAATGCACAAGAAGACTTTGCGCAATAGTGTCTTCGTTCCCAGACTAAACGGTCAAAAAATTGTGGGATAAGTTAAGACCTGGGGACAAAATTAAATACTAAGGTAGCCTGAAGGAAGCGAGAGGGGTGTTTACCTTAATTATTCTCTCAAAGTTGCATAACACGTTCGGTCGAGCGAAAGAGTCGTCTCCTTTAGAATTCAACTTAATTCTCCATTTTTCCTAAATTATAACACACTATTGTGAGAGACTCGTCTGAGGAAAAGTTAATTATAGTAAGTAAAACTTACATCGAAATTGGCTGTTGGTGTTTTCATAAATTTAGACGTAAACAATAGAAAATGTTTTTTTACATCTAGCAGTAAACTGATATTCCACGCTACCTCTTGGTGACGGGGCTTGAAAGTTTTGAACAGATTTCAAAATACGATTTTCAAAATAGATCACTGAGAACCAGTGCAATACTCGACAGCTCCAAATTGCTTTTCGACGTAGAGAACCAATTTGGTTCAGATTATTAGGGAACACTTTCTTGTTTAAGATATGAAACTGTTAAAAAATATACTCTGCTAGTTCACATCAACCCCGGTAATACGAGTTCCACCGTGTCTGAAAATAAAAAAGAAAAAAGCCACAGATCAATTTATGGTTTGTGTAATGTCAACTTTTTTACATGTTATATCTCCACAGTTCGCTTACCCAATTTAATGTTAGGAAGGATTCAGTCTATGCAATCTTTTTGACATGCTAGGTTTGTTGGATGCGATGCCTGCGTTACCAACATTGTCGCATAACATGTCGGAGGGGTTCTCCAACACTTTTCAAAAGATTACTAAATATTTTGTGTGGATGATTCATTCGACATAATTTTGTATAAGAGACTGGTAAAATACTTCAAATTGTACCACCGAAATTGGCTCTTCGCCCCTCAGATTTTCCTCCAACAAAATAACCAGCTCCCATATGGCTTTTTAGCTCAGTTGGTAGAGCGCTGCACCAGTATCTCCCAGGTCATAGGTTCAACTCTCGAACGAGACTGAATTTTTTTCAAGCTTAGTTTTCTCTACTGCTTAAGTAATATTCATTACTGCGAAGATCACTCTCACTTTCATTTCCCTCCCTCTTCGTGAAACAATACGATGAGAAACAGGTCTTAATACAGTGGGAATATAACTGTATAACATGCAAATTCTTACCAGCCAGTGCTAGCAGGAGGAGGAGTGGAGATGAGCCAAGTTTGCCAAATGCTCTCGCCTCAGTCTCCTCTTTTCCGCTCCGATGTCTTTCATCTCAAGTGACTGCGGGGATGTTTTTTTGTTGGCCAGCGGTTGGGTCGGCTCACGTGTCATGTGATTATTCATTAGGGCAGCCGCTGCCCACTCTGCTTTAGTCTGACGAGACTCGTAGTCAGTACTATCTTGAGAAGACTGAGAATCATCGTGAAACTTCTGCAGCGACTGTCTCCTCCCCTCTAGGGATTCTTTTCGTCCCTGTTGCATTTCGGCTGCAAGCTGATCAGCGTGATTCGTTTTAAACTCACCATTTCTTAATGGTGCAGTTCTTTGACTTGAGGACCTCAGAGCTCCATCTCTGACTGGTAAATCCACACTAGAAACCCTTAAACGCCCAGTTCGATTAACTTTACCATTTCCACTAATATCAATGGCAGATACCACACGATGAGTTCTTAAGTCTGTACTACTCTTCGCCCAACGTCTGTCACGAGCATGCGTAGTTTCCTCCTCATCGCTCGATCCATTCTCTCCCTGCCTAGGTATTGACTTAGGTCGGCTAAAAGGTCCGTTTTTAGATACAGGTTCCTGGCTCTCGCTCACACTCCTTCCCTGGGGCCTTCCTCGGGGGTAACCTTCATCATTCAGAGACCCTCCTCGGCGTACCCTCCCCCCATTGATATCAGAAGCATTAG